TACTATTGTGCTTAACTTGCAAGTTTCTTGAAGGCAATGCCTTGTCTGCAGAGGAGGCTCTGTTGGTTGAATTGTGTGTCACCTAATGTGCTGAAATTCGAGTTTTTCCTCACTGATTATTGTCATTATGAAAATCTGTTTAACTGTTCTCCAAGACGTACCAACTCTGAGTCTCTGAGTCTGTTTTAGGTATCAATATTATATTATGCAAAAGGTGTATTTCCCGACATTGCATTACTTTGAATAGAAACTCCCCCCACCCGCCACACACACACACACACACACACACACACACACACACACACACTAAAAACCACCTCAGAATCAAAATGCTTACTCTTTGCCTAAAAAAACAGAAAGGAAGTGCTTAAGGAAGCAAAGCCTTCCATTTTAAGGCAGAAACCTAAATGCGGTGAGGGGTGTTAATCAGTTTCTCAGGCATTTAAACATTTCATCCCATTTTGTTTTTCCAGTTTTTAAATTCATCAAGCCTCCAGCTTGGGGATTTCTTATCTGTAGGAAGCTTTTCAACAAACATCTCCAACACCCTTTTAAACAAACACCGCTTCTTCAAATGCAAAAATAGAAACTACTTTCTATTCTGAATAATGTATAGTGCTCTATTCTGTGAGGCAGTTACAACTGCTAGCAGCTATCTCATCTGAAACAGCAGTGAGCTTAGTCTGCCCTCCCTTCCAAAAGCTGTCCATTTCGGGGGGCGTGGGGGCACCCTCGCTCCACCTCCCATACTAATCGTGACTGCAAAGCGTTCCTACGTTGCTTGCTCTTCTGCCTTAAAAAAAAAAAAAAAAAAGAGCCTGCTTATTGTTACACTTTATTCATTTCAGTGCATCCACTTTTCACGTGGGAGACAGACTACTCAGCATGAACTCTGAAGGCAGATCATGCCCAGGCCCTAACATCTGCTAGGTGGATGACTGTGGTCAAATAACCTCTTGGAACCTTTGTTTTCTCATTTGAAAGTGGGGATAATAGGGGCGCCTGGGTGGCTCAGTCGGTTGAGCCACTGACTTCGGCTCATGTCAGGATCTCGTGGTTTGTGAGTTCGAGCCCCGCATCGGGCTCTGTGCTGACAGCTCGGAGCTCGGAGCCTGGAGCCTGCTTCGGATTCTGTGTCTCCCTCTCTCTCGGTCTGTCTCGCTCTCAAAAATAAATAAACATTTAAAAAAATGAAAACAAAAGAAAGTAGGCATAATAATGCGTACTTTCCAGGAATTTGTGCAGGTTAAATGAAATGGGGGGATGAATGCAAAACAGAAAGCTTACAGGAGCCTCGGTGACCATTGGTTTCTTTTCCTTATTTGGTAAGTATCAGTTTCTGAGCATTCTGGTGCTTCCGGGTAATCAACGCATAGAGAGAGACAAATCCCTTTGTTCTGTGTAATTATGACAGTCGTTCTCAAAGGGGGGGCTCCCCAACCAGCCGCATCAACGCCCACCTCACTTTGGCTAAATCAAAACCTCAAGGGGTGGCCCCCAACAATCTGTGTTTTAACAACCTTCCAGGTGATTCTGATGCACTGATGCACACAGGTCTGGGAGCCATTGCTTCTAGAAAAAGGCCAGCATGGTGTGTCTGTGCGTTTACAATTGGGGAAGAGGCGTGTGTGTGCACGTGTGTGCGTGTATGTGGTGCTCGTGGCGCGACGGGGTGTTCGTCTTTATTACTCACAAATACAGCTAAAGGAAATAAACCATGGAGGTGGAACTGGAGAGCAGTTAAATTATTTAGAGTTGGTCTTCAGTGTCTGATCACTATTTTTTCTCTTTCTTTGTCAAGCTAAGCCTCGGGGACCGGGGATTTAGGAGTGAACAGCGTGGTCTGTTGAGTTCTGAGGATTTGGGGAGGTCCTGAATCTGACCTCAAATATCACAGTCCTGGTGCCTCCATATGGGCTTGTCTTGGGTGGGGGGCTTCTTTCTTTGGGAGCAGGATGAAGGAGCTAGATGTCACTAGCACGAGAGGCCACCCTTCTATTCAGATCATTTTTTAAAATGTTTGTTTTTGAGAGAGAGAGAGAGAGAGAGAGAGAGAGAGAGAGAGAGAGAGAGCACGAACAGATAGAGAGGGAGACACAGAATCTGAAACAAGCTCCGGGGGTGCGATAGGCAGGGAGGTCATCAAAGAGCTGAACCAATGCTCTTCGCCTCATCTGAGAAGCTATTTCTGAAAGCGGGCACCCATTTCTAACCTTTCCGCATTTGGGGTCAAAATGATAGCAAAACAGACACATACACTAATCAGCGGCTGGAGATCTCGGTCTCTGACAGTCTCCTCCCACCGCGGCTCTATGGGGCCAAGCTCACGACTGGTTGGCTTCCGCCCCCTTGTGGGCAGCCCGTCTCACCGCATCCTGTTGGGCGCAGGGAGCCTCTGATTTGCTTCGTTCACTCAAACTTCCGCAGGGTCACCGGTGAAATCCTAAGGCTTGCCTTTCTCCTCTTCCTCCTTCTCCCACCCTGTGCTTCCATGGCCATTTGAATTTTCATCAGCCCCATGCTGATTTGGGGAGATACAAATGTTACCAGCAGAACGACACGAGCGCAGCTGTGGGGATCAGGTGTTGGTGAACAGGAAGATCTGACCATTTGGCGCCACTGGTGGGCGCTGTCCATACGAACGCCATGCTTCACGATCGAGGTGTTTTTCGACACAGATTTTAAATTTCATATTTAAAAATAGAAACATGTTTAAAATCTAAAAATATTACAGAGGCAATACGTTCCTTTTAGGGAAAAAAATTACACCCACAATCCTATCACTTACCAATATTCTGCTATGTATCATTCCGTGTATTTTCGCCACCCCCCCCCCCCCCATATCCCTCCTTCCTCACTTTGTTCCGGTTCTATGTGAATTCTACTCATTTCTTCCGGAAACCAGAAAACTGAGAAAAGGGGAGGGGAGGGGAAATTAGACGATCACAGAAAGCAAATAATGCTGCTCTCGTTTACTCCTCGGTGCTAGCTGTAGTTATCGGGAAGGGAGACGCCGTGCAGTCTTTGATCTGTTCAGCCCTGTCACATTAACAGCACCTTGCCCCCAGAGCCCCTCTTCCTCCTTCTTTGACTTCTTCATCATCAATCCCATCTGCAGACTCAAAATACCCTCCCCCTCTGGCTTAACACCCTTCTGGATTTTCAGTGGCAGCACAAGAAAAAATATCTATTATTGTCTGGACTGAGACCGTTCTCTTGGATCCTGGCTGACAGCTTCTGCAGCCTTTGGCGGGGGTGGGGGGGCTGCTCATATTTTTCTTGCTTATTAATAAAGGCTCTTACATAGTAGAGGCATTAACCCTTGGTCTGCCATAAAAGCTTTTCACTCATTCCCTCAACAAACACTGAGCCAGGTGCTGTTAGATTCTGGGGATGCAGTGATTTCCAAAGGAGAGATGGGGTTTCTGCTTTCACGGAGGGAAGCGAAATGTGAAAGCAAGTCAGTCTAGAACCAGTCAATCTAGTTCTAGATTTTGGTAAGTGATGGAGGCGGCTGCCGCCTGAGTAGGGCTGTAGGGCAAGGCTGCTCTGGGTAGGTGACATCTGATCTGGAAACTGACGACGACCAGGAGCCAGAAATGTGCAAACTGGGGCAAATCTTTGTGGGCGGAAGGAATAACGAGCGCGAATACTCCACCGTGTGGGGAGGCTTGCTGCTGCTGAAGATCTAAATGAAACCTGTTGAGGTTGTAGCAGAGAGAAGAAGAGGCACAGGGAGGTAGCGAGGCCAAGGCAAATTTTGTTCTTATTTTAGACGTGACTGGAAGCCACTGAAGGAGTTTATGGGCATAACGTGCTCTCGTTTGTGTTATTAAAGGGTCCTTCCGGCTGCTCCCCGACAAACGGTCCGTGAGGCAAGCGTAGCAGGCAGGGCAGGAAGACCAGGGAAGCTTCTGTAGCGGTCCACATAAGACGTGAGCACGCCTTGGACATGAATGCCAGCAGCTGGGTGGCAAGGAGTGGGCGAGCTCTGCGTATGCTGTGCGGGAAGAGCCCGCGGGACGCACCGCTGAGCCGGATGAGATATTTGCCTTTCAGTGTCATTTACAGCTTGTTCGTTTGGGAGGGGGTGTCTTCCTAGGTACCCGTTTTTGAAAAATGCATTTATTTACAGCAAATATTACTATTTGAGAGAAGGAGAGCATGAGCGGGGAAGGGGTAGAGAGAGAAGGGGACAGAGGATCTGAAGTGGACTCTGTGCCGACAGCAGAGGGCCCGATGCGGGGCTCGAACTCAGGAACCGTGAGATCATGACCTGAGCCGCTGTTGGATGCTTAACCGACTGAGCCACCCAGGCGCCCCCCCCCACCGGTAGAACGATATTTTGACTTGAGCAACGTAGTCCGTGTTTAGGCACAAGCCTGGGTTTTAGAAAGTTTTGCCATCTGATTACCGGGAACTGATGGGTAGCTTGTTCAGTTCTGAGGAGACGTCTGTTTAGTTACTGGCAAGTAGCTCAGGCTTCACAAACACAGGACAGATGCAACCAACTTTCTTTTTTTTCAGTTTTTAATCAAAATCTTTTTAAAAATGTTTATTTTTGAGAGAGAGAGAGAGAGAGCGCGTGCAAGCGGGAGAGGGGCAGAGAGAAAGGGACACACAGAATCCGAAGCAGGCTCCAGGCTCTGAGCTGTCGGCACAGGGCCCGACGCGGGGCTCGAACTCACGAGCTGTGAGATTGTGACCTGAGCCGAAGTTGGACACTTAACAGACTGAGCCACTCAGGTGCCCTATTCATTTTTACTTTTAATTCCAGCATAGTTAACGTACAGTGTTATTTTAGTTCCAGGTGTACAATATAGTGATTCAACACGTCTATTCATTACTCAGTGCTCGTCGAGAGAAGTGTGCTCCTTAATCCCCATTGCCTATTTCCCCAATCTTCCAACCCCCCTCCCCTCTGGGAACCATCCGTTTTGTTCTCTGTAGTTAAGAGTCTGTTTCTTGGTTTGCCACTCTCTCTCTCTCCTCTTTTTTTCCCTTTGCTCTTTTGGTAACCAGCTTTCTTTCAGAATGGAGGGCTGGCCCATGGGAAGAAGGCTGGTTTATTCTTTGGTCACCTTCGTTCTTTGCATGATATAATGTTTAGGTGGGGATTCTTTTCCTCATTCTACACCTTTGTGGAGGGATTTTTTTTTTTTTTTTTTTAACTTGGAGGATAGCTTTGGTCTGTCTCCCCCTAACAAACCTGCATGGCCCATGCATGGAAAGGGAAACTGATGACAGCTTGGGCAGTGTGCCCAGGAACAAGAGGAGGGAGAAGAAGCCCAAAGGTGTGGGCAGAGCCTCTGCGTAGACAGGATTAAGCCGCGTGAGGATTTTCAATATGGCGGAGGGAGAATAGCAGAGTGAAGGGAGCACATGAAGTTTTAGAAACTGAGACCCTTGTTTGAATCCTGGCTCCGCCATGCAATAGCTATGGGGCCTGGGCAAGTAATTTACCCTCTTACAGTAGGTTACTTCATCTGTAAAATGGGGGTATAATAGCTACTTCACTAAGATGTTTTCAGCTATTAAATAAGTAACCAGGTAGGAAAAGTACCAAGTTGTGGTGCTGGTCCCAAATATGGGAACTTTAACTGATGGTTTTGGCCTCTGCCATCTAGATTCTCAGTCCCTTTTCAGATCTGTCTTCTCCTCCAAGCAGTACTTCCAGGACAGAGATTGTTTTTTTGTTTTGTGTCACCAGTGTGTAGATCAGGGGAAGACACTAGACGCTCAGGACAGGCTTGTGGAACACTGGAGGGCACGGATGAATGCCCCATGGTTGGGATCCAGCGGGATCTCGGTCCAATGAGCCACATCTCTGCTCTCCTGCTCCCTCCTACTCATTGTGTCTTTTGCCTTCTGGTACTTTCCAAAGACTCTCCCCTCCGCCGTCTACTTCTGGTCCCTCACTCATGTTTCGGGGGAAATGCATTTTTCAAGAATGTACTTCAGACCTGAGCTCCTCTGAGACCCCATTTTGACTCTCTAGCAAGTTGTTCAGATTTGCAACCATGTAATTGCAAAGATGTTAGGTTCAACCCTTAAACTGACTGCCTTTGGCTTAAGATTCGGGAGATTTCACCTGGGTGGAGGCTGAGGTCCTGTCATTGTCACGGCAACCGAGCAGTGGCAGGCCTCAGACTCCAGGGTTCCCTCTCCTGACTCCTCCCACTGCCCTCACACCCTTCACCAGGTAAATGCGGATCTAGTCTTTGACAGCCTCAGAAACTCTAGGGGTAGTGACATTCTCTGAAGTGGACTTCAGGATAATTAGCCAGAAAGCAAAGGTTATACTGCTCTGAATAGAACGGGTACAAAATAGGCTCATGTAAGAATCCACAGTAGTGTCTTAGTTTCCCAAGACACGTCTAGCAAAGAGACGGGGACGTTGGTAGCTTTTGCTTTCAAGATAAAGCCACCGGTGCCCACTTACCCAAAGCTGCGGTCTCGGCTGTCCAATTTCCTGAACAAATCTGCGTCCGGCCGGAGATTCACTTGCAGACTCAGAGCCACCTGGGCCTGAAGAGGGGTCAGCGCGGAGAGCTGGAAAAGAGAATTGGATTTGAGACACAATTTTATGAGGCAGAATGAGTGGACCCTGTTAACAGATCGGAAGTAGGGGATAGGGAAGAGAGTGACCCCCAGGCTTCTCATCAGGGCAATGAGCAGTGGCCTCCATTAAGATCCCACTTAGTTGGGGGAACTTCCCCAAGTTCCCACAAGAGGAGGAGCAGGTGGGTGGGGGATGGGAGAGGGTCTCCACTTCCCACAGTCTGAGGTCCCAGCGCAAAGCCTGGGCACAAATCAGCTTGTTTCAATTCTGCTTTTTTCTTGGACAGAAGATAGGCACATCCCTCCCCCTCCCATCCTGGGTGATCAGAGGTAGTAAATTGAAAGGAGAAGGGAAAGGATTTTATTCATAAGAGTCTCAGAATTTTGAAACCTCTCTCATCTAGATTTCCATAACCTACCTATCAGAATCTATCACTGCATTAGATTCATATCTATCTACTAGCTGTCCTGCTGAGAGTGGCTGGAAAGAATCATTAAATATCCTGCCAAAGGGAAATCCACAGCAAATCGACACTTGTAGTTTTTAACTGTCTACCCCTCTGAGGGCTCCTGTCAAAACCCCTGGTTGTTTTCTCCTGATGTGGCATTTACAATGTTGTTGGGACCCTGCACACAGCAGTCACTAAAGCCTGTCACTACCCTTTAATTTCTGTTCCTCAGGAGGAGGATTGTCTAGCTCTTTGAGTGTCCCTGGGGTTTCCTGGGGTGAATTTCTCTTTTTCTTTCTTTCTTTCTTTCTTTCTTTCTTTCTTTCTTTCTTTCTTTCTTTCTTTCTTCTTTCTTTTTCTTTTTCTTTCCTTCTTTCTTTCTTTTCTTTTCTCTTTCTTTCTTTCTCTCTCTCTTAATGTTTATTTTTGAGAGAAAGAGAGAGAGAGCGCATGAGCAGGGGAGGAACAGAGAGAGAGGGAGACACAGAATCCAAAGCAGGCTCCAGGCTCTGAGCTGTCAGCACAGAGCCCGACAAGGGGCTCGATCTCACAGACCATGAGACCATGACCTGAGCCGAAGCCGGACACTTAACTGAGCCACCCAGGCGCCCCGTGGGGTGAATTTCTTTTATTACCCTGCCACCCACTTTTTAAGTCTGCCTATCTCACTCTCAAAATTCAGTCAAAATGACTTCACCTGGTTTTGGGTGATGCATTCAGAAATTAGAAAAAAAAAAAAAAAAGGGCAGCAACTTTGGTTTTGAAAATACTGTGGAGTATTTTTCAAAGCCTTCCCACATCGATGATCTCAGTCTCGCCCGGTAAAAATTCAGTGAGGTATAGGAACAGAGGGGACCATCTCCCTGATACGGAGGCGGGGCTTAGGCGAGCGGCACTCCCCTAAGGTCGCCAGGTGAACCGGCGTGAACAGGAACACATCACGCACGCTCACTGATACGGTCTCACTGTGAGTGGTTATGGGAGTCACCACAGACAACTTCACTTTATAGATGAGGAAACAAGCCCTATAGGTGAATGATTGCCAGAGACCAGGTACCTGTAAAGCTATTGTGATGCCAACTGGTAAATTGCATTTCAATTCGGCGCTAACCACCTTGTGTTGGTGCTGACCCCACAAGTGGCAGGCATGGTCCCCGACAGGTTGCCCCCACTTAGATATCGGCTGCACATGGGGGCGCCAGGCCACCCACAATTCTGACCACCCAGCTGCAAATCGGGGGGATTCCTCTTACCTCCCTCAGGTTTGGTAATGTGTTAGACAACCCTAAAAACTCAGGAAAATTCTATACTTTCCATTATAGTTTTATGCTAAAGGATATGAATCAGGACCAACCAAACGAAGAGACACATCGGGTGAGGTTTGGGAGGGTCCCGAACGCAGGGCTTCTGTGTCCTCTCCTCATGGAATCAGAGTACATTACCCTTGGGGGTACAGCCCGGGGGCCGAGCATTTTTCTGCAGAGTCCATTACCCTCCAGACACATCAATGTGTTCACCAACCAGGAAGTTCACGGAGCTTGTGTCTAGAGCTTTTCCTGGGGTCTCATCATACAGGCATGATTGGTAACTGACTCTCCAGCCCCCCACTCCCCACCAGGCTCAAAGTCTCATCCCTCTTGTCACATGGTCGGTCTTTCTGGTGACCAGCCTCCATCCCGAACCCTCGCCTTACCATAAACTCAAGTGTGATGGAAGGGGTTCACGGAGGAGACTCTCTCCAAGGGTTTTAGCAGCTTGGTTCCAGGAACCAGGGACAAAGACCGGACAAAATATTTATGATATGACAGCAGTAGAGCCGGCCTTGACCCCACATCTTTAGTATCTAGGCCCAAGGCTTTTGTCTGTGGCCCCACACAGCACCTGGCTCCCACCTGGCTTTCTGGCTGTGCATTGAGGAGAGAGGGAGAAGTCGTGTCATAGTCTGACCTCCTGAAGACCCGGAGAGAGGCCTCAGAGATTTCAAAAACCACACCCTGCCCTTCCAGTGTGCCCCCCCCGAACCGGACCAAACCCACAACCCAATTGCCACATTTCTCAGGGGACAGAGCTGAAGCAAGAAAGGTGCTGGCAGTCCCGGGGACCCTCCCCTGCCTCCTCAGAGAGGCCGTCTTCAGGAAGGCGGAGGGATTTTGAAAGCCAGCCACGTAGGAGGCGAAGGAGGCGACAGTACAGCCCATGATGGGGAGGTCTGCATTGATCCTTAATCTGCGTCTTAAACAAAAACCCTTCATCCCATACAGCTATCTGCCCTGGGTAGCTGTGTCTCAAAACGTGTGAGTCAGAATGGAACAGTCGATGAGGAATGATTTCCAAGGACTGAAATCCTGGGCATGCAGACTGAAAAAGGACAGCACATCCACTTTAATTATCCACGGAAAGCCCCACCATCCAGGCAACGGGGGGAGGGAAGAAATCTGTGCTTACTACATACCTACTAGGCGCGATGCATTGTTCTAGGCATTTTCAGATGCCACACGGTTTAACCCCCACCAGTCTATGATGCACACTGTACCACCCAGATCTAATAAAGACACAGGCTCTGAGAACTCGCTGGAAGATGTGCAGGTCGGAAGAGGCAGAGCTATGACCTGAACCCAAGTGCAAATCCAACACCCATTCTTTCGCCCATGTCAGGCCGCCTCCAGGAGCTGCTGATAGCCTGGAAGATGTTGCTGTCATTTTTGTTTGCTTGGCTCTTTATTAAGTATTATTTTTGTACAATTAAGCAATTAAACTGTGATCCTCAGAAATCCTGTAATTTTGAAAGCCCTGGGCAGGAGAACGGTGCTAATCAAAGAAAACCTTATTTACATTAATCCTGCTGGGAGATCGCTCAGGTCACTTCTCTGAAAGCCCTCATGACCTTGCTTAGTGTAGTCTGAACATTAGGCTGGATTCAGTTCTTAAAACCACTGCTAATTCAGGCCTCTGCTGCAGAACAAACGCCCTCTTAATGATAAAAGTCACAATCGCATAAAAGGCTCGCTGTGGGATTATAAGAGCAGCCCGATTTCCAGCTCGTTTTTATTTTACCTGCTAATCACTGGCCTCTGTTAAATGCGGCGGCCTCTCGGGAAAGCTGAGCGGAAAAGCCGAGCCCATATTAGCTCAGCACTAGTGCCACCTGGTGGTCGGCCCTGGTGTGGCGGGTCCTCCCAGCATTTCTGGTTACAGGGTGGGGTTTTGGTCTCTGCCTTCTCCAGGTCCGCAGACGCAGGGTTTTGACAACAGCACACAAGATATTTGTGCGTGGGCGCCCTGGGTGGCTCAGTCGGTTGAGCATCCGACTTTGGCTCATGTCATGATCTCACGGTTCATGAGTCTGAGCCCCACATCGGGCTCTGTGACAGCACAGAGCCCGCGTAGGATCTTCGGTCTTCTTCTCTCTCTGCCCCTCCCCCGTTCACTCACTCTCTCTCAAAAATAGGTGAACATTTTAAAAATAAGTGAATTAACTTAAAAAATAAAATAGAGTAGGTATCATTTCCTCGTCAAAAAAACCAGGTGTGTGATGGGGCACTTGGGTGGCTCAGTCGGATGGGCGTCCAACTTCGGCTCAGGTCATGATCTCGTGGTTTGTGGGTTCGAGCCCCGCGTCGGGCTCTGTGCTGACAGCTCAGAGCCTGGATCCTGCTTCGGATTCTGTGTCTCCTTCTCTCACTCTCTCTCGCGCTGCCCCTCTCCTGCTGGTACTGTGTCTCCCTCTCTCAAACATAAATAAACATTAAAAAAAATTAAAAAAAAAAGAAAATTCAGTTAAAAAAAATAATGTGTGTGGGAGTTGATGAAGAAGACAACCAGCTACTTCACATAACTGCAAAATGCTAACTCGCTGCGATGACTGATTCTGGACTCGGGCAACTTTGTTCATTTTGACCTCATGCAGGTACAGCACAAGCATGCCTTGGCTCCTGTTTCTATCAGATCCCTGGTCCCACTGACACCTGCTTGTAAGCCCCCATGACGTGCAGATGGCGGGCGCTACCTTCCTCCATATCCGTGTCCACAGTCTACACCACAGCCCCGGGGTGGGGGTGGGGGGGGGGGAGAAAAGAGAGTTTTATACATCCTGGATCATTCACTCAACTGATGTCATTTCCTTCTCAAAGTGTCAGCTGGGGAAGGATAATCGGAGACATTTCCTCAGCATTATTACTGAATAACGTTTAGGGGCATCGACTGGCTGTCATGCCTTGAGTGGGTGTTGAGAATACAACATTTGTAAGTTGCACGCCCTAACTCTGACAAAGGCACGGGCTAGTCAGGGAGGCAACTTCCTGAAGGTATAATCACAATAGGAAACAATAAACACTGGGGGAGGAGTGCCATGATAGAGGTAGGCTGGGGCCAGTTCAGGATTGGGAGTCAGATTTACCTGCGTTTGAATCCTGGCTCTGTCACCTAATTGTTATATACTTGGGCCTCTCTGAATGCTAGTTTCTTCATCTGGGAAATGGGCGGAATTATGTCTGCTTTGCTGGATGACAGTAGGAAATACCACTAATTGTGGAAATAAATGAAGATGACCCAAATAACACACAGAACTTGCCATAGCAAGGAAGCAGCCACCATCACTGAGCTCGCAGAGACTCAGAAGCAGGCGGGGGGAGGCAGAGGAAAGGGGAAGGTTTCGGGTGTGCCCCGATTGGAGGCTATTGCCATGGAGAAGCTGGAGGCTGGCTAACTAGAAGCCGGCTGGCCATCTTCTGTGATTGGTTTGGGAGACATAGTTGGCTTTCTGTGGTTGGTCCCGGGTTGGAAGCAAGAGCAAAAATTAGGGAAGCTGGTGGTCGGTGACTGAGTCCTGTAGGTCAGAGTTCTTTTTTTGGGGGGTGGGGGGGTGGGCAGAGTAATATAATTTATTGTCAAGTTAGCTCACATACAGTGTATACGGTGTGCTCTTGGCTTTGGGAGTAGATCCCCGTGATTCATCGCTTACATACAACACCCAGTGCTCATCCCAACAAGTGCCCTCCTCAATGCCCATCACCCATTTCCCCCTCCCCCATCCTCCCCATCAACCCTTAGTTTGTTCTCTGTATTTAAGAGTCTCTTGCAGGGGTGCCTGGGTGGCGCAGTCGGTTAAGCGTCCGACTTCAGCCAGGTCACGATCTCGCGGTCTGTGAGTTCGAGCCCCGCGTCGGGCTCTGGGCTAATGGCTCGGAGCTTGGAGCCTGTTTCCGATCCTGTGTCTCCCTCTCTCTCTGCCCCTCCCCCGTTCATGCTCTGTCTCTCTCTGTCCCAAAAATAAATAAACGTTGAAAAAAAAAAAAAAAAGAGTCTCTTGCGGTTTGACTCCCTCTCTGTTCGTAACTATTTTTTTCCCTTTTCCTTCCCCCATGGTCTTCTGTTAAGTTTCTCAACTTTCACATATGAGTGAAAACATATGATATCTGTCTTTTTCTGAGTTATTTCACTTAGCACAATACCCTCCCATTCCATCCACATTGTAGCAAATGGCAAGATTTCATTCTTTTTCATTGCCAAGTAGTATTCCACCCCCCGCCCCCCCACCCCCCCTCACCCCTCCCCCCCACACACGCCCCATCTCTTCTTTACCCATTCATCAGTTGATGGACATTTGGGCTCTTTCCATAATTTGGCTATTGTTGAAAGCGCTGCTATAAACATTGGGGTACATGTGCCCCTACGAATCTGCACTCTTGCATCCTTTGGTTAAATTCCTAGTAGTGCTATTGCTGGGCCATAGGCTAGTTCTGTTTTTAATTTTTTGAGGACCCTCCGCACTGTTTTCCAGAGTGGCTGCACCAGTTTGCACTCTGTGGGCCAGAGTTCTGTTGTCACACATGGTCTAGCCGTTGTCCTTCTCTATGTCTAGTCTGTCATAATACATTCAAATCTGACACATGGTGTGTGCCATACCTAGATATTAGTAAGTGGGAATCATTATTATGACAATGACCACGATCAGAGGTGACTTTGAAATTGCAACTGAGCTGGACGTTAGTGGTAGCTTCCCAACAGCCGTTCTCCCTGGACTGGTCAGGGAAAGAGAAACCAGACCAGTTATTTTAGCAGAGATAATTTAATACGAGAAATTGGTTGCAGGGATTGGGAGACTGAAAAAGCCAAAGGGGAGGACAAGGGGGGAAAAACAGGGCTGCTGCAGGAATGAAGAAAAGAGACTGAGGCCTATTGAGACTCAGAAGCAAGGGGCTGCACACGGTGGGCCCCAGAACTCCCCGGAGGGCTGTGCTCCCCAGTGGGTGCTGGTAACCCAGGAGCTCAGAGGAGGGGCTGAAGGAACGAGACTCCGACTCCGAGCCATGGACAGACTGGTGCAGACACACCACAAGGCTCGTTCGGGGAGAATGAAAGATTCTGGAAACTGGAACCAGCTGTTCCTGAAGCCAACACTGCTGTGGGTAAAGAAGCATCGTCCCGGTGATGTTAGTAGGACCAGCAGGCAAACAAGCATGGGAGCTGCCTCCTCCCTCCCCTCGCTTTCCAGTCTCCCTCTGATGATGCTGTCGGCCAGAATTAACAGGGACCCTCTGGCAAAGGAGAAGTGAGGCCAAAGTGCCCCAGTCCCAGCATCACACAGAAGAGTGTGGAGTGTGGGCTTGGAACTGAACCACAGCCGTGAACCAGCAGACTCCCTTCTTTGTGATTCACAGAACCGGAATTTTGTTCAGGTGGAAGGCAGCTAAATGCTCTAGGGAAACAGGCACCACATGTATGCTTTTCTCCAGGTCTGCAACCCTTTGTTTTCAAAACGAACAGACAGTCCGTTGAAAGCAGATAATCAGTTAATAACTCCCAGTTTTGATCACTTCCTGCCCACCCACCAGTTCCTCCCTTTTCCCCTGAGTCTGGAGACATGCGGGTCTGGAGGAGCGGAGGAAACCCCCAAGCCTCTCCTTTCATGGTGATGGGGCAGACGCTGCTTCCTCTTTTCTTTTTTCCTATCCAGAACCAAAAGGCTCCCAGAGAAGTTTCCAGTCTTTACCCTAATGGGGCCAGGGGAGAGGGAGATACAGGGGTCAGGGTCCACTTCTGTTCCAACCTATATCCTCCCATCCTCCAGAGCTGGGCTCTTCGTGAGATGGTTGGGCTGGAGATCTGGTCCATCCTATTTGTTAGAGGAGACAGAACTCTAGCTATACTCTGTCCAGAAGCAACCGCCTGTACGAGAGCTGATGCCAGGCATGGGGAAAGCCAAAACGAATCAAACACGGTCCTCTTCCCTGGAGGAGTCGCTATCTAGTGGAGAGAGATTCCGACCAATCAGTATAACGCGATGCGTGTATACACATAAGTGGATGGCGTCACGTAGTCACTAATGCCTAACTCTGTCCGCGAAGGTCTTAGGAGACTTTGCAGAGGAGGTGGCGTCTGGCTGGAGCCATGAGAGAGAAGTACGCCAGGAAGGTGGAGGACTGAGAGGGCGCTCCAGACAGAGGCCAGCGCCTGTGGATGGCCTGGAGGTTCCCAAGAGAACCTCCGTCCAGGGACCTGTAAGCAGGTGCGTAGGGCTGGGCAGAGGGCCGGAGACAGGGTGAGAGCAGGCTGGAGCTCCGGGAGGATGAAAGTGCAGGGCTAGAGACGGAGCAGCTCCTACTCGGCACGAGATGACACCCTATGGAGACAGTGGGAAGCTGGGGCAGGGACGGGGCCCAGGCTGCGGTCAGAGAGCTCCCTCTAGCTCCATGCTAGATGGGGAAAGGGAGCTGGCACGATTCCAAGCGGAAAACCTGCTGAGTGCCCGTGCCATCGTACTCATGGTGGCTTTAAAGATGCCTCAGACACTTTCCCAGGTTCCCCCCACCCTAGAGTGATTCAGAGCGGCGGACACAGACGTCGGTGGGGGAACGGTCTCCAAGCTTCTGCGTGTCGCGCCTGTCCAGTTACGCAACTGGTAGAGCTGGGAAGACCCCATCCCAAGGACTGATGAGGCATATGGGGAGCAAACGGAGAAAGCGGAAGGAAGTGAGGCTGGGGGGGCGGGGGGGTACACTGTGGAGGGGACCAGACACCGCAGGTTGGGCCAACTTTTGGGCCAACCATTCCTGAGGGGCCAACTTCGAGGCAGGGAACTGCCTCAGGTCGGTTCACGGGCAGCTGCGCGTGGGGAGGGTTAGGGGAAGAAGGGAGTCGGGTTAGAAAACGTGTGGACAGGCAAGTGAGGGCAAGGATCAGAAATCAGCCTGATGGCTTTGGGGGTGGAGAGGACGGGTCAACACCGGCAGGGAGACCACTTAACTTGCAGAAACAGGAGGGAAGAGTGGGGAGGGTGAGGACCAAAATGTTCCCAATTTTTATTATTA